ATTAAGAAACTTGTTCAAGGCCACACTGAGAGTAAATGCAATAGCCAGCATTTGAACTCGGGTACTTGACTTTAAATATTCTGCATCTTACATTCTGCTTTGATTAATTCCTTCCTCAGAACCCTCCATGACTAACCCTGCCTTGCTGGGTAAAGTCCAAACTCCTAGCCTACCAGTCAAGGACCTCCACGAGCATCTTTATTTTCTTTCCTTATATGTATACTGCCATCTAACTAGTTTACCTGCTGTGGTTCCCCAGATATGCTTGCTCTGTGCTTTTCTACCTATCTGCTTTGGTTTTGTAGCCCTGCATCTCTTCCTGTAGAAATCTACTTCCTCCTACAAGATACAGCTGAAACACTGGCCTTCAGCATGAAATGAAGCCTTCCCTGATCACTCTGGCTGGAAGTGATCCCTGTGCCTGGAAGTGATCCTTATGCCTGGTACCAGATTTTGGCAAGTAATTTACACTGACATGTACTGCAGGTGGTTAAAAGGATAAGCTACATCTCTGTATTTCCCACATTACCTAACACAGTTCTTTGTCTGTGGAAGGTACTCCAAAATAAGTTGAATTTATAAATGCTTCAGTAATTCTTCCTTCTACACACGCTATTAATCCACCATATCCTAACTCAAAGAAGTATGCTTATTCAAAGAATCCCTGATGGGCTAAATGTATGAGTTTAGAAAAGAAAAGAATGTCCTTGCCAGTACACATTTTCATTTATTGGCAATAGAGGTTCTGAAGAGTATAGTGTTCTCCCAGGTACTTGCTCAAATTTTTTCTTGGCTTCAGTTGTCATCCCACCTAGAAATAGAAACTTTGGGTAGGCAGGTACTTATGGTATTCAGTTACTTAAGGATATTGCACCTCTCTCTTTTATGATGCTGCTGCTCTTACAGGTGCAGAAAATGCCCAAAGACATCTGGATCTAAAATGCTGGAAAGATTTACTGGTACTTTCTTCATCATGGTGATCATTGTCCATAATTTTTTTGTCCAAAGATGGTGATCATTGTCCAAAGAATTTTTTTCTAAACATCTGCAGTATACTTCTTAGATATAAGGATGTGTGTGATCATCCTAAATATATCTGTAATCCATATTAAATATGACAATGTATACAAATCATGTTGCTTCACCACTCCTTCAGCATGGAAAGGTCTTCAGAGGGCATCTTACCAATTTGCTGAAGGGATGAAAACAGAAAAATTTGTTTTAGTGGCTAGCTTTCATGCAAATATTAAGCTTTAGCACACACAAATTTGATTTTTGTTTTTCCTTGTTAGCTGTTAACTTCCTAGCCAGAGAAGCATCACCTCTCACTGCTAAAACTGAACAGTTGATTCTGCACTAAAATATTAGACTGGTAAAAATTCAGTTGTGATTTAATGAAAATAGGGTAATGAAGCTGAAATATAATTGAGCATTCTAAACTTAAATTAAATTTAAATTCTTACCTTCTAATACAGCATTTTCTCTCGGCTTTCGTAGATCTCCAGGTCAAAAGGCAAGAAAACTAGGTTCCAATTTCCTTCTGACTCCAAAACTTCTAGATTTGTACACTGTTGTCTTTTTCATGAGTCTTTTGAGCAAGCAGGACAATGAAGTTCTCTATTTCTAACCTCTATTAGAATGAAAGGAGGTGACTGCCTGTGTCCATTCCACTCCCAATTCTTAAAGGCCCATCCAGGAGACAGGAACATGACCACCAACCTCTACATCAAAAGTCAACAAGAGGAAGCACACAAGCAAGCAAAGGCACTGACTGAATTCTCCTTTCTTTCTTTTGTAAAAACAACATGCTCCTAGAGATCAAAATGCAGCTTTTGTTTACAATGGAAACTGTTCTTTTTCTCAAAGAACAGGATGATGACACTATGTACCACTTTAACATCAAACATCTATACTACAATTTTTTTTTAATGTTACTTAAGTTTGGATAATAATACAGAACAACTTATACAGTTTTTTTTCATATTTCTAAACTCAACTCACCCAAAAACATAGTTTGGATTTTTAAAGACATCCTTCCCTGCCTTTCTCCAAAAGACTTCTGGAGGGAAAATACCTTGTACTACCAGTACCTGAATTGTCCTAAGCCTTAACATTACTAGAGGGATAATGACAAGGAGAAACATACTTGTTAAAGAGTGAGGATAGCCAGGTCCTAGACTTACTTCCACCACTAATAATGTATGACTTTAAAACAAGTTGCTTCATCTTTCTATTTCCAAAATTCTAAAATGGGGGAGAGGGGAGATTAGACTAGATAATTTTGATATTCTATGAAATATTCTCACTCTCTGTTTTCCCTTCAGCATGCTTCTTTGGATCAGTGCCTTTATTATTCCCATGGCTATTACATCCCATTGCCATTACATAAATTTAGACTGCATTTCACCTTAACCTGAGATATTTTAAAAAGTTCTGGTGGATCTTCTTGAATTTTGTCTCTTCTGAATGTATTCTATTCTATAGGTCTATTCTTCCTAAAACGCCACTTTTATTCACTGTATCAAATGTTAAACTTTGTTTGCAAAGCTTTACAGGCTCTCCAGTTGATTTTACCTAAAGAATACAACCTTATATCCAATATCTACCATATGTTATGGTCTGTCTCAACTCTTTATATACTATATTACCACCTTCATACCTTTGGTTTCTTTATTCCTCATGAAACACTGAGTCTTTAAGGTCCAAGTGAAGTCTTTATTATGCCCAGAACTTACAAAAAAGTTCACATTAAAAAAAATACACCACTCTCCTTTTACTACCTCTCTGCTGTCCGTGGCCTCCCTGCTAAGGCCATAGGAAGAAGCATGATGTAGTGGAAAGAGTACTGGGAAAGTGTCAGAAGACTGAGGCTTCTTGAGTCCCCAGGCTGACAACCACTTGCTGTGTAACCATGGATAAAAGACCTCACCACTTTCCAGTGAAATAATATTTGTAAAGTGCTTGGCAAAGTACCTAGCATGGGGGCAGCTAGGTGGTACAGTGGATAGAGCACCGGCCCTGAAGTCAGGAGGACCTGAGTTCAAATCCGACCTCAGACCAAATACTTGACACTTATTAGCTGTGTGACCCTGGGCAAGTCACTTAATCCCAATTGCCTAAAAAAAGCAAAACAAAGTACCCAGCATGTAATAGGTGCTATATAAGTGCTTATTTTCTTCCCTTTCCTCCATCTTTGGACTTCTGTTTCCTCATCTGTAGACTAACACCAATCCTTAATATCCCACCGTGCGCAATAAATACACAAGCTGATGCATCTGGGGAATCTGAGTTCAGAATTGCAAGAAGAGAAGCTGTGAAAATAAGAATCTTTTAGGAAAGGCTAACCTCAGGCAGGACTGACCTACCAAGTAGAAATTGCCCCAAGTGTCAAAGTATCTTGTCCAACCCCACCTTCAATGCCTAGGAGTCATCCTGCACTCTCATTATCTCTCACCCTCCCATATCCAATGTATTGCCAAGGCCTGTTGATTTCCCCTTTGTAACATCTCTCGTTTTATGCCCTCTTTTCTCCACTGACCCTGCCACCATTCCAGAGCACATCTCCTTATCACCTCATAACTGAATTATTGCAAAAGGTTGCTGGTGGGTCTGCCTGCCTCAAGTCTCTCACAATTCCAATCCATCCTCCATTCAGTGACTTTCCTAAAGGGCAGGTAGGACCATGACATTCCCCTACTTAATGAACTCCAGTGGCTTCTTATTACTTCCAGGAACAAATATAAAATACTCTGTTTGGCATTCAAAGCCTTTCATAACTCCCAATCCCCTCCCGTCTTCTTACACCTTACTCCTCGTAATATATTTTTTAATCCAGTGATACTGGCCTCTTGGCTGTTCCATGAACAAGACAAGCTATCTCTTGGCACTGTGAATTTTCTCTTTATGTCCCACATGCTTGAAACTCTCTGCCTATTGATTTCCCTGGCTTCCCAAATAAAATCTCATCTTCTACAGGAAGCCTTTCACAACTCTTCTTAATTCTAACCTTCCTTGTGTTAATGATTTTGATATATAGCTTGTCTGTACATATTCGTTTGCATGTTGTCTCCCCTATCAGATTGTAAGCTCCCTGAAGGCAAATGTTTCCCTTCCATTTTGCACTTATAATCAATACAATACTATTTCAAAACTCAGTTTTGTAGCATTTAATAAGTCTGTATTTCAACTCCTCAAATACATTAAAAGATTCTATAAGGCAAGAACTGTCATTTTTTTTGTTCCTCTCAATGATTAGCATAGTCCTCACAAATAACAACATTCAATATTCATTTTTCCTTATACTACTCCATTCAACTTATTTCTTTCATGAAACACTTCTAGAAAGAGCCTACCTATGTGGGGGGGTGGGGAAGAAAGAAAGAAAGAAAAAGCCTACCTACCTAGTTCCAGGAATTTAAAGTATTATTATTATTATTATTATTATTTTTTAAGGCAATTGTAGTCAAGTGACTTGCCCAGGGTCACACAGCTAGTAAGTCTCAAGTGTCTGGTCTGAGGCCACATTTGAACTCAGGTCTTCCTGACTTGAGGGCCAGTACTCTATCCACTGCGTCACCTAGATGCCCCATTAATTACTCTTAATGATCTATTTCTCCTTTATACCTCTCTAACAATGTAATCCTTGTATGACCCCCTCATAAGAGTAATATACTGTTTCTCACAAGCCTAAGATTGTAAAGATACTTAAGAAGAGGATTTATATTTTTCTTATTGTAAATAATTAATATTAACAGGTATTTTTTATGGAAAAAAATTAGAGGTTTAACTTACCTGTCTCTGCAATGCCTAGAGTTTGATATCACTAAATGGAAAGTCAATGGCTGTTTTTACAATACACATGACAATCACCAGAGACAGAATTTTAAAACTGCTTTTTCAATGCCAAGAATTAAAAAAAAAAAAAAACCAAACCAAACCAAACCAAAACAACTGCAGAAACACTGTAATCTTACTAGGAAGTGAAAAATAAAGGAACTTACCAAGGATGGATCAAGATAACTCTGCGTAGCTGACCAGGTCTGAGGGGTAATTAAGCTGTACAATGGAAACTGTTGCTGGGGACTGTATACTGGAGGTAAGTAAAATGATGTTGTATAACGCTGTTGTGTGTAGAGGTTCATGTCCAGAGGTCTATATCCATTCTTTGGCAAAAATGTGTTTATAGCAATAGCCTTTGCTTTTATCCGTGCCTTCACAAAAATATTAAACTCCTATTAGGATACTTAATAATAATTTGATATTAAACTAAATGAGGCCAATGTTCTTGATTACCTTTATTGGTTTTCCTTGAAAAATTTTCACTTCTTCTCTCAGGTATTTGTAAGCCTAAGATGAAAACATTCAAATATCACTTCTTCATTTTTATGAACTACTATAAGTCAATTTAGCAGCATAAATAATGACTGGATTACCTAATTTGGAATTGAGGTTATATAATTTGGAAAAGGAAACAAAAGGGAAAGCTAGGATAAATACTAAATCTCATTCATTTAAGTAGGGCTCCTGATTTCATACTACAGCTATCCAAAGTCCTCTGACAACATGTAAAGATCCCCCTGAATCTGATCATGTCCCAACTAACCAGACTTATTTTTCATTATTCCACAGCAACACTAGTATAATCTCTTTGGTCTAATCACTATCCAACAGACCACAGTCATTCCTACCTCTGTGTGTATATTCATCCTCCTGCCCTGCTCTACCCTCTGCCTATCTAAATATAACCTTTCTTTAAAAATCCTGCTCAATTTAAATTCTTCCATAATCTTTTCTGCCTATTTGTAAACTCTTACAGCATTTATAGGCTCCACTGTAGCTTAGTATGTGACTATTATAATGCCTTATATACTAGTTGCTTTAATTTGCTATGTTAGTCTTATTTCTCTATTAATATCTTCTTTTGTACACAGCAAACAATATCATATTGCAAAGCATAAGATAAGCAGTTAAGACCTGGTGCTCAATTCATGAATGACATTAAGAATTTCCAGCCTATTACACAGTTCAGATAATGATAGTACTAGCAACCGGAAAAATACATCTGAGGTACAATCTAAGTGTAGTTTCAGTACAATTTAAGTATGTCATGACAAACTTCTTTGGGTTTATTACTTTTAATATTGCTTTTATAAATATTAATTGATATTAAGCTTACTAAAACCTTTTATTTTAAAAAATAAAACTCTTAATTTCCTTTTTGCTCTATATTTACATATATAAAGACACATTCGTCTAGACGGGAGCTACAGCATAGTAACTTCAGTTCTGCTACTGACTCACAGAATACTAGTAAATGTATTTACAGTACATTTTACTTGTAAGAAAAAAAATTAGTGCTCACCTGTTGCGCATCAGCTTCTGACTCAAATGTAATAAACCAATTGTCATTATACGCAAACTCACAATTGACGAACTTAGGCAGGTTATCTCCTATGAAGAGTGCTTCTACTTCCTATACAATAGTATACACAAAAGAAGTTATAACTTTATGAAGCATAGTCTTTAAAAAAAAAAAAGCTAAGTTGTCCAAATCCTCAAAAAACCTAGGCCTAAATGTTTATATTTACCATCAACATTGCATAGATTAAGCACATAATTTTATGCTTTTCTAACCCTGTTCTTTTACTATGCAGTACAAATCTTTTGCCCTGAAATTTTCATTACTGACCAATTAGGTTTAAATGCTACTTGAGCCAATAAAGAGATTTTACTATGAAATACTTTTAAGAGTTTAGCCTTTCTATACAGGAAAGCTGAATGAATCAAATGGCGAGGCTTTTTATTCAAAAATCTTTCTCTGGTACTATATAAAGTATTAGAAAAGTAGCTTGAGATGAATAAGAAGACACACTAATACCTAATAGTCCAAGAGTGAATTGGGTTGTGATATTACTTTCTATTGGGGACTCTCATCTCTGTTACTCTCTAACATATTATCCCTGAATCATCTTAACTTTGTGACTACTCTGTTGTATTTCACAAGTTTTAGTGTAATTTTAAGCTCCTAAAGCTTAAGATTTTTTGAATATTTTAAGGTACTACAAATTTCTTTACAGAAAATAGTTTAGCATAAGAAAGGTTTCATTTAGGTGTCATCTGAGGGTGTGGGTATGTGCATGCACATGTGTGTAGCTAGTAAAGTATCAAAATGACCTTATTATAAAGCAGTTTCCACCTAGTAGGTATATGCACATGAAGGACACAAAGAATTATACTACAATGCAGAAATTTCTATCTTTATTCTAGACACAACTGAAATCTACCCCATTTGGGATGATTTCTGTACATAAGTAAAGTACTGAAATTCTTATTACAGGAGCTGTTATTCTGTGTTATTAGCATTAATTTTTCAAGTCACTGATGCTAGACTGAGAAAATATTTTCTTTCTTTTTTTTAATTTTTTTTTTTTTTTGGTGAGGCAATGGAGCTAAGTGACTTGCCGAGATTCACACAGCTAGTGAGTATTATGTGTCCAAGTCCAGATTTGAACTCAGGTCCTCCTGACTCCAAGGCTGGTGGCTCTATCCACTGAGCCATCTATCTGCCGCTGAGAAAATATTTTCCTAAGGTAAAAATTTAATCTTTTAAAAAACATACCAGATCTTCACTCTCATTCCAACCTTTTTTTTCCACTTAGATTTACAAGGATTTTATAGTGTTGAAAAAATGTAATAAAAATATTTTAAAATAATACCCAATTTAATATACCCATGTGTAACTACCAAGAAAGATGAATTTTGTAATAAAGCCTAAAGGTCAATAAAATGGGATTTTGTTGGACTAGTTTAGATAACAAATTCCAAACTGAGCCCTTGTGGAAAATATGCAGTTTCTAGTCTCCTGAAGAAAGAAAGCTTGGACGCAGATCCAGGAATGTAGATTTTAGATGCAAAGGAAGTCAACTTAAAAGATATATACCACAAATAAACAAGGCTCAAACTATCTAAGACTCTGGATACAGTGACTGACCAGAGAAACCGATTTCCTGAGGAAAAACACCAGCGAAAATAAATGTTCATTTTTAAGGGAAAATAAGTTGTTTCATTGGAGCTAAGTTGTTGTTTCATTAACACATTTAACAAAAACTCTCAAGCATGTTTAGTGACCAAAGAGCACTTAAGTATCTATCCATTCTGCTTCTGTAATACTAAAAAATATAAACTGTCCCCTTAGTCAATTAGGAAAACAGTGTAGCGGTGCAAAAGCAATGGACTACAAGTCTAAACACTTTTTTCCTTCAACACTGCTTTTTTTTAAGCCTTTAAAGTTATATTTATATATTACATTTATAATAATATAATTTATACATTTATAATATAATGTATATATTACATAATTATAATTGTTATGCTTATTATTGCATGACATATATTACATTATATGCCTGTTATATATATGTATTTTGTGCGCACGCACACGCGCGCACCCCCCCCAAATAAATACCTTGTAATTCCTGACCTCATTATTTAGAGCTGGAGAGTTTTTTTTTACTCCAACCCCTCATTTTAGAGATGAGAAAACTGAGGCCTAGGGAGAAGGCAAGTAATTTGACCAACAACTTTTAAGACTTAAAGAAAACAGTGAGTCTTTGAGTTAGATTTTATGACACCTCCAATTTTTCATTAAACAAAAAAACCCAAAACAAAAAACCTTCCATATTTTCAAAGTATACTTGACAGTTCAACCCAGAATATAAATTCCTTACTTCTACAGGAGTAGATTCAGGTATTTCACGCAATATAACAATGCAGCGATTCTGGTTTGGCCTGACTTTTTCTCCATTCTCATCCACTTGGACTAAAGGCAATGCTACACAGAAGAAAAATATGCAGTGATGCTATTTTAAAATTAACACCAAAAGAAACAGATTACTTAGACCAATATATTAAAACCTTCATAATTCACAAATGACAGTCCTTGCATAGAATTTCTGTTACCAAATAGGCAGTAAATAGTACATTTTGAACTTACAAATAATCTTAGTCATAGCTACACAACATTTCAAGCAAACTACACAATTCACAACTAAGCCCCAAAAAAGTATGCCAGCCAAATTAACAACTGTCAGAAATGGTTGTTAAAAATCACCCTTGTACCACACTAATTTTTTCAGCTGTTCTTAGATAGTAAAAGTTTAAGATGTAGTTTTGAAAAATTAAGTTTAACAAGCATCCTAATAAATAGCACTATGAAAACAGACTAAGTCCAAAAGGCACTCAAAAGTATAATACAAATAGATGTTTCATTTTGTAGTCTTCATGTGAGTAGGAATTATTGAACTATCAATTCTGAAATTGATTTATCTTTAATGAAATAAATTGTGTTACATGATATTTAATCTAGCTAGAGAAACTCCAATAATGATCTTTTACAGTCTTATTCTGATTTTATAATATTGTAGAAGCAGCAAGATTGGAGAAAGACAAAAGAACACAAACTTTTAGTTTAAAACTAGATATACAAGTAATTTATAAAAGTTGTCAAATGATGCACAACCTTTCAGTTTTCCTTTTTTTGAAAAAGGCATTTTTATCATTATTAAAACTATTATATGTATATATCAGTAACTGCAAGATGTACTTTCATGTACCTGTGGTAACAGAAAACATTCTCATGGGCCAGAAATGTATTTTAGACAACTGAAACATTTCAGCATCCATAGTTCATTTATTATTAAAGGCTTTGCTTGAAAAATATTAAAAATTTTCTTAAAAAGTTATCTGTTAAAAACACCTACAAGGCACTGTGTTAGGGACTACAGGGGATTAGACTCTTCTCCTCCTTACCTAATCTGACCTACTTAATCCCTTAATTCCATCTTTTCTCTGATTCATTTGGCAACTTGCCCACACAATCTTCCTGGCCTCATATAACAAACCTCTGTCTCAGGATCTACTGCCTCATTCCCTGCTACCTACAAACAAACACGCTCAGGTCCTCCAATTTCTTCAAGATAGCCCTTATCATATTACATCTACCTTCCCCTTCACAGCCAAATTCCTAGAAAGAAGCTATTTACACTCCCTGCCCCCATTTCCTTTCTTTTCACACTTCAACTTCTTGAAATATGGCTTTCAAACCTATTACTCAAATAAAACTGTTTTTCCCATATAACCTACCAATTTGTAAGCTAAATGGCATTCCTCACTTGTTTTTCTGGAACCACTAACTATATTCCTGTCATGGATATCTTTCTTCTCTAGGTTTTTATGACACTGTTTTGCCTTGGCTCTCTTTTTGTGTGATTACTCTTCTCAGCCTCCTTTTCTGGATCTTCATCCATACCTCACTTCCTAATTGCACTCATACCAAAAGGAACTGTCCCATTACCCTATTTTCTCTTGATGACTTCATCAGCTTCCATAGATTAAATTTTCACTTTTCTTACAGATAGCTCCCAGATCTATGTATCTAGTCCTAGTTTCTCTCCTCAGCTCCAGACCAACATCACCAACTACCTACTAGACATTTCAAGATGGATATCCCGTAGGCACATGAAACATCATGTCCAAAAGAGAATTCATTACTCTGTCCACCCAAAATGCACCCTTCTCCTGAACTCTACAATTTCATTAGAGGGTACCACAATCCTTCCAGTGACCTAAGTTTGAAACCTTAAAGTCACCTCAACTCACCTTCTGTCACCACACTTATTCAATCAATTATCTAGTCTTATTGCATCTACCCCCATAGCACCTGTTCCATTCTCTCTACTCATATGGACACCTCCTCTTTCCCTCTGCCCACCTTTATCCCTGGTTGAGGCCTTTAACCTAGACTATTGCAATAATTCATTTATTGGTCTCCTCGCCTCAGGTCTCCTGCCTCTCCATTTTCCACAGTGGCTAAAGTGATATTAGTAAAGCACGAATTTGAACATGCCATTCCCCTGCTTGATAAACTCCAATGGCTCCACACTGTCTCTACTCTCAAATACAAACTCTTGTTTGGCATTTAGAGTCCCTTACACCCTGACTCTAGCCCACCTTTCCAAGCTAATAATATGCCATTACTTCCATTCTTTGGTCTAGCCAAACTTGTTTACTCAATATTTCCTCCATTCCCTTCTCTATTCCTTTGCAAGACTGTTTCTTATGTCTGGAATGTACTCCTTCCTTTTCACCTCTGCTAGTAGAATCTATAGCTTGTTTTTAAAAACCACCTCCTACATGAGATCACATTGGCTGCTGATGTCTCCTCCCTGCCTCCACTGAAATTACTTTGTATTTGTTTTATCTGTCTCTGTAAATGAAAATACCTGTCACTCTCAACAGAATGTAATCTCATTGATGGCAGGGGACTATTTCATTTTTGCTATGCTCATGATCACAGATACATCTAGAGCTGGAAAGAACATCTGTATTTTTAGCTTCTGATTATTAATTAAATTAGCACTAAGTTACAAATATAAGATATATGGCACCAAAATATGAAAATATAGAATAAAGGAGCTAGACATTTGCCTTTAAGGACCTTAAAATCTACTAACATAATGATATGACACAGGTTAAAGATTCACACAGAAATACTGACAACCAAAACATACCAAGTACTATCTTGAAATAATCAAGATTTTTTAAAAAAAACTACAAATGTTTTACTGGTGCATAATGGTTAGGATCACATACATTATTTATTTCAAAAGATCTTTCACTTACATCGAAGAATTTCAACAATTAAATCCAAATCAGTACTGAGTTTCTTGATATGGTCGAGATTAGCTACTGTTGTTATTGGCACATACTGATCACTATCCATCTGTGATATAAGATACATGTCACTTGCAAGATTCTCTCTGTTTAAAAAAAGGGGGGGGTGTTAGTTTATGAATCAATATTAAACAGTCAAATCAAAGGGTATTACTTCTTCAGATATAGGCAGGGATAAATCCACACATTTCTCACTGTATATGATATATTCCTTATAAGCTGCATATAAAACAAATTCTATACATTGAATTATTCTTCAAATACTAGACATGAATCTATAACTGAAGTCCTAAAATTCAATGATTCATCTTGGAACTGAGGTAGCCTTGTAATCTCCAAAATGATGTAAGTAGACTGCAAATTCTAAGAAGCTATACTTATACTACATAAAGGGTAGACTGTATCATGCAACAACTAGCTCTGATCACCTCAATAAGGCTTCTGACCAAAAATGAGCCACCAAGAGAAAACTTTTGGCCACAGCAACCTGCACAATTATTTATTAGGGTGTGGATGAATTACAATATGTGAAGAATACAGCATATGAGAACAACTCATTCGTATTTTTTAAAAATGTTTTTTTCATATAATCTGTTATTAATTTAATTCTGTTTTTAAAGTGAGATACACTTATTTAACAAATTTGCCGCAGAAACCTATTTAAATAACAGTTTTCAAGAATTATAATAGTTCTTATGAGTGACTTTTCCCTTTCGCAAGTTGTTATCCAATAAGTCAAAGAGAATCTTACAGCTTGAAGACGCTTAGTTTTTGGGTTTTTTTAGGCAATTGGGGTTAAGTGACTTGCCCAGGGTCACACAGCTAGTGAGTGTCAAGGGTTTGGTTCGAGCTCACATTTGAACTCAGGTCCTCCTGAATTCTGGGCCAGTGCTCTAACCACTGCGCCACCTAGCTGCCCCTTGAAGGCACTTTGGACACTTTCTAACTGAACCTCATTTTAAAGTTGAGGAATTAATAGTAACAACCACACCACCATCACAACAATAATAATATTATTAACTAATTTCTGCACAGGCTCGACACTGTAGAAAATGACTGCTCTCCCATTTCTGACCAGTCAACTCTAATACATATACTTTTGGAAACAAGGCTGTCATAAAAGTAGAAGGCTGGTATAGTATAAATATATCATTATAAAAATGCAACGCACAGTCTATTTGACAGTGGGAGAGTAAACTAGAGATATTATACAATTCAACCTTTCCACTTACCTTTCGTTGTTCCAGAAAGAATCCATCTGCTTTTCAGAGAACAAAAAATGTTACAAAATCTAGAGCTATAAAAACAGAATAATTTGGCATTCCAAATGACAGAGGCATTGGTCTTGTGTTCTGAGATATAATGCAGAATGGGTTCTTAAATTCTCCCATGTTTCATGAAAGGTGAATAGCTACTTAAAATTTCAGATTAAAATTTTTAATATATGTACTCCATCTTTATTCCAGCAAACTCCTGCACATGGTCATACAACCCTAATAATATTTTTTTAAATTGACACTAAGTCCCTATAAATCATAATAGGTAGTCTTACCGAGACAAGCAGAATTCCAGTGTTTTTTTAAGTACTTCTCGGGGGTCTTCCTGGACTTCTTCACTTTCTTCTATACAAAAATAATAAATGACTCAGAAAACAAGAAAAAAAATACACAACTACTACTACTAAACAATTACTTTGAAAATGCTTAAAATAATCTTCTGATTTAAAATTACTACTACTATTCCTTCATGGTAAATTAATACAAATGAAGAATAAAAGTAATTAACTGCCCATTCAATATGCAAGGAGTGGGGGAAGAGGAGGAGGCACTTAATAAATGTCTTCTTAGTGTTTAAGAGCCCATTTGCTAAAAAAGGGAACTTATGCTTCAAGAAGAGTTGGACTAGATAACCTCTGAAGTCTATTCCAGTTCTAAAATGTCGTACTTGATAAAACTCTAGTGCATTATTATACTGCTTTCTAATAAAACAGAAGTATAGTTACATATGTCGTTTGTCTAATTTATGTACTTTGTTGTAACAAATTTCCCAAAATCATCATAAACACCTTCATTAGTACATTCCCTGAATTACATTAGAGTAAATTAACTAATGAACCACATCACAGGTACATCAACAGTGAATTAGTTTCCCTGTCTTCTCATAGCTCTTTGAACAAAATTTTCCTATCTTTTTTGGTTCAATGGCTGTGAAATGATATTACAGAGTTGTTTTGATTTGGATTTTCCTGGTGGTGGTTTCAAAACAATTTTTTTTTCATATAACTACCTTAAATAGTCTGACTTTTTCCTTTTGACAACTGTTTCCTTATGCCTTACTGAGGAACAGATGTTGACTTTATAATTTGTGTCAATTCTCTACAAATTTTGGATATCTGCCTAATCAGATATTCAATGAAAAGTTTTTTCCCTCTCAATTTTCATTTTACCTTACAATTCTAGGGGCAGATGTTTTATCTGTGTTGAATTGTCTTAATTTTATGTAATCAAGATTATTTATTTTGTCATTTATGATCTCTTCTACCTCTCTCTGATCACATAATTTCCCTTGATCCATATGGTATGAGAAAGAATTTTCCATTCTCCTCTACTTTCTTGTGGAACAACTTTTTTCTATATTTAACTCATATGGACTTTATTATGGTATAAGGTATGAGATGCTGATCTAAATCTATTTTTTTGTTGTTAAGCAGTTTTCTCATTTTTTAACCTCTCCCTTTTCAGCTACATACATTCTTAGGTTGCTGAAATAATAGACTTCCAGATGCATTTATTAATAAAGTCTTGATTATCTGGTCTATTCACTTATTTATAACAATTCCCACAGTTCTGAATCACTGTTTAGTAGTATATTTTAGGACCTGAAAGCAAAAAGCTCCCTTCATTCTTACTTTTTTCCCACATTATCTCCCTTGATATTCTTGACTTTTTACTGTTTCAAATAAACTTACTATTTTTGCTAATTCTGTGAATTAATCCTTTTTAAACTTTTAATCTTAAGAGGGAATTTATAGAATAATTTGGGTAGTAGTGTCATTTTTATAAAATTGGCTAAGCTCAAAACACCTCTGACAATTTAGATAGTCTCAGAATTTTAAGAATTATTCTGTAGGTATAAATGCCTTATACAACTTGGTAAATTAATCCCTAGACATTTAAAGTATTCTGTTATTTCGAAAAGGAATTTCTTCTACTTCTTAGTTTTGTTGGTACAATGAAAAAAGATAAGTGATTCATGCGCATTTATTTTGTATTATGCTACTTTGTTGAAGTAAGTCTCAATTTTCTCTGACTCTCCAAAACTGGGCATACAGGAGGACATATTTGGGCACGTGAAAAAAAAATTAGAAATTCTATTTGTTTTAATTTTTTAAAATGAATTAAGCTTTGCTAATATTCAACATAAGAAATGACTCTGGCACTCTTACTCAGCGCCTATCAAATGGTCATGTGTTCCATGAGGGGAAAGGACTTCTACAACCTGGAGGAGTTAACACAAGGACCTTACCTGTAATTTCAATATGCATATGGCCAAATTGCTTTCTACATTACATCACGTAGTTTTAACTCAATATTGTCAAAAATTGACAAGTTTAAAAAGAATTTCTATAAAGAGGCCTGAAGGTGACACCAATAATATAGGTACAAATGAACAATAGATGAAAATGGCAGAGATGACATTTCTTCTGTTCCTACTGTAACCTTTTATTAACCACTTAATGTGTGTGTGTGTGTGTGTGAAATCACATCCAACAAGGCAAAAATAATAAATCTAACAGATTATTATAAATGTAAGTTTATATCCCCTATTATAAACAATAAGCTGGTCCCAAAGTGTATATCACAACTTGAAATGTTGGCTAATCATAATATGAAGTCACCATGAACAGTCAGACATTCAGAAACTTTTGTAGTAAAAAAGATGAGTGTCACAAAAAATGCTTATAACTACAGACTTAAAAATTTGCAAAGAAGATTTTACAAGCTGCTTTTAAATCTTCTAAATAAAGAATTTCAGTGGGTTTTGAACCTATTTGTTTTTAAAAGCATAAAAATCTAACCTTATAACAATAAATATAAATAGTAATAAAAAAATTTACCTCTTCTTTGCATGTGCTCACTCCATTTCTTTTTCTCTTCTTGTTATTTATCACTTGCATTGTGTAATATGATAGCACCCTTCCTACTTTTCTCTTGATGTTATTCAGAAAGCTTTCAGCATTTCTGGAATTCTAGCTCTTAAGATACTTTCTGTCATATCAAGGTAAGGTCCTTTTATTCCCATGCTTTTTAGTTCTTTGTGTATTTTGCTGAACACTTTTAACATGTCTATACTGATATAATGATTTAAAATATTATTTCTTAATATTTATGTTTGTAATTTTCCAAATGTTGAGCCATTCTTGCAAGCCTAGCAAAAATCTAATCTGATCTTGACCCAGCAATACCACATGTAGGTCTGTATCCCAAAGAGATCATACAAATGGAAACAGGACCCACATGTACAAAAATATTTATAGCAGCTCTTTTTGTGGTGGCAAAGAATTGGAAATTGAGTGGATGCCTATCACTTAGGGAATGGCTGAACAAACTGTAGTATATGAATGTAATGGAATACCACTGTGCTCTAAGAATGATGAGTTGGCAGACTTCAGAAAAACCTGCAAAGACTTGAATGAACTGATGCTGAGTAAAGTGAGCAGAACCAGAAGAACATTATACACAGTAACAGCCACAATATGCAATGACTAACTTGGACAGAACTCATCTCTTCTTAGCAATGAAAGGATCCAAGACAACTCCAAAGAACTCGTGATGGAATATGCTGTCCACATCCAGAAAAAGAACTATGGAGTATGGAATGAAGGTCAAAGCATACTATTTGCTCTCTCTCTTTTTTGTTGTTGTTTTGTTTCTTCTTTCTCATGGTTTCTCCCATGGTTCTAATCCTTTTTTACAACATAACTAAAGCGAAAAAAGGTTCAACATGAATGTATATGTAGAGCCTATATCAAATTGCAAGCCATCTTGGGGTGGGGGGAAAGAGAGAGATGGGAAGAAAATTTGGAGCTCAAAATCTTATGGAAAGTGAATGCTGAAAACTAAAAATAAATAAATAAAAATCTAATTTGATCTTATGAATACTTTTTGAATACATTATTGTAGCTTCTGTGCAAATATTTTTTTTAATACTTTTAAATCACTATAGTAAGTTCATTAGTGATAATGCTTTTTCTTTCTTCACCTTTCTCTACTTAGTCTAGGTATCAGAATCATCTTTGCTTCATAGAAAATACACAGAACAGTATCATCTTTATTTCGTAAACATTGCACTCTAGGCAACTGCTAATACTATGGATTGTTGCATTTGGCAGGGGGAGTTTTTTCCCTTAAGAAAAGTTTCCTCATTCCCTGTAGCAATGAAATCACAGGTCTGATTCCTATCAGTGTTCATAGAGTAGTTATTTGTGGGTTTGCTTTTGAAAAAATGTTAAGTAGAATTCACTTATATATCCACCCAGGTAAGAATTTATTTCTTTGCCAATTCTTTTATGTTTTGGCCAAATTATCTGTGACCAGGTTGTTTTAACTCATTAGTCCCTGTTTTGTTAATATAGGTAATTTTTTTTATTTTTGTGGATATTCATCAATTTTATTAGGTTTCCATTTAGGAGGCATATAATTAGGCATGGAAGGGTTTTAAATTCTTCTCTTAGTTTTTCTGTGAATGCAAATTCCTTCTTTTCTTTTAAAAAAAATCAAATTAGTTTTATGTAATCAAATTAATTTTATCTTTTGTAATTTCCTCTATCCCTTCTTTGGTTAAGAATACTTCTACTCATAGCTGTGAATGATTTGAAATTCTAATTTTTTCATGCATGATCTTTAATGTTAAGGTCAAATATCCACTTATAATGTGTTGCTGTTTTGTCAACCAGGAAATTCTTGCCTAAGTAATTTGTGCCTTTTGATTTATCAAACATTGGGTCATTTAGTTCTATTGTTTCTTAATTTCTTTTTTCTAGATTTATTTGATAAAAACTGCCAGGAAAATTAAAAAGTAGCCTGGCAGAAACTAGGCATAAAATAATGCCGACCTCATCTTCCACAATATATTTCAAATGAATCATATCACAGAAAAATTAGAAGAGAAGCAGACCATATGCCTTTCAGAGCTATGAGTAGATGCATTATTAACCAAACAAACAAGGGATAGAGGTATTTAAAAAAGATAAAAACAGAAAACTTTGACTTACTTGTAACTGAAAACCTTATGCACAAATAAAACTAATGCACCTAGGATAACAAGATAAGTGGTCAAATAGGAAACTTTTGTATTAAATTTCTACAATAAAGATCTGATATCCAAGAAATACAAAAAATTAACAGATTATATAGTTATATATTAAATTAACCCACCCAAACCCACAGACAATCCACACATATTTGGAAGACTAAAAGCCATTTGCCAGTAGCTAAGTGGTGACAGGATATGAACAAAAGGATAAAATAGTAGAAGGATACGAACAGTTCTACAAAAAAAAAAAAGCAAGTTGCTAACAACCACCCCAAAAAATGCTCGAAATGACTATTAAGAGAAATGC